ACTGGTTGACAATTCTCTTTATGCAAATCAATACAACTTTCAGAAAGCTGATTGGGAAAAAGTGAATGAGACTTTGAAAATAAATCTGTCAAAGAGTGAATATCAATGGTCTTCAGTTTCTAATCTTTCAGAAGAACTTGAGCTGAAAGCTGAAAAGATCAGAGATCTTATTCATGTCTCAATTCAAGATCATATTCCCAGAAAGAGAATAACTGAGAGATTCAAACCATGATGAAATTCATTTCTGAAAGAGAAAAGAAAGTCAATGATCAGAGCTTTTAGAGACTTCAAAAGAGATTTGATCAGCTATGAAGATTATCAGACTCAAAGAACTGAATACTTTTCTGCTGTGAAACAAGTCAAAGCTGGATGTTGGAATAACTTTCTTGAAAAAGCTGAAGGAAAAGAAATCTTCAAAGCATACAAGTACACAAAGAACTTAAAAGTGGAAAAAACTCCAATTCTCAACTATGTTGATTCAGATAATGAATCTAAATCTGCAGTCACATTTGATGAGAAATGCAATGCTTTCATCAGTACTCTTTTCAGAAAACCATCTGAATATCCATCAATCAATTGATCTGAATATCATGAGAGTGAGAAGTGGGAATGGCATCAAATCACTGAGATTGAAATCAAAAGATCAGTTTTCAGTGATTCAAAGATCAGTGCATCTGATCCAGATGAAATTTCTTTTCTGATCTTACAGAAAACCTATCCAGTTCTTAAAGATAGATTGTTTCAACTCTACAAGAGTCTGTTTGAGAAGAACTATCATTCTGACATTTGAAGACAAGCTACTGAAGTCATTTTGAAGAAACCAAACAGAAATGATTCTATTCTCAAGTCTTACAGAATCATTTCACTTCTGAATTGTTTGGGCAAGGTGATGGAAAGAGTGATAGTCACTAGACTCAGTTTCTGGGCAACTACTACTGATCTCTTGTACTTTGATCAGTTTGGTGGAAAGAAACAGTGTTCTGCAATTGATGCTGCTTTAAGTCTCACTCATGACATTCAACTTGCCAAAGCTAAGAAATTGGTGACTTCAGCTCTTTTTATTGACATTAAAGGAGCATTTGACTTTGTGTCAGTGAATAGATTGATGAAGATTTGTTTGGATTTGAAGTTGCCCAAGAATCTTGCCAGATGGATTGAATCTTTCATGAGAATCAGAAAGATTCAATTGATTTTTGATGGAGAAAAACAGTCAACACCAGTTTCAATCAATATTGGTGTGCTCCAAGGCTCACCACTCTCATCAGTTCTTTTTTCAATTTACACAAGATATCTTTTTGAAAATTTGGAAGAACTGAAAGATGTGAGAATTCCAAGTTACATTGATGACACTGATTTAATTGTTTCTTCTGAATCAGTTGAGAAGAACTGTGAGTTGTTGAATAAAGCAATCAGTGTGATGTATGAAAGACAGACTTCTCATGTTGTTCAATTTGATATGGACAAAACTGAACTGATTCACTTCATCAAAGATTATTCTGAATCAGATTCAGTTTCATTGAATGATCTGACTTTCAAACCAAAAGATCTAGTTAGATGGTTGGGAATCTGATTTGACAATCAACTCACTTTCAAAAGACACATGGAAATCAAAATTGCATCAGCTGAAAGAGTCTTGAATCAAATAATAAGACTTTCAAACACAGAAAAAGATCTTACTTTTCAAGTAATGAGACAACTGTACATGGCTTGCATCACTTCTGTTACTGATTTTGAAGTTTCAGTTTGGTGGAATGGTCAAAAGAGTCTACTTCACAAGTTTGAAAGACTTCAGAATTCAGCTTTAAGAAAGATTCTAGGGGCTTTCAGAACTTCTTCAATCTATGCTATGGAAATTGAAGCTGCTATTCCTCCACCCAAAGTGAGATTCAATAAACTGTGTAGAAACTATGCTTTCAGATTGTTGAAATTGCCAGAAAAACATGCAATCAGAATAAGAGTTTCTTTAAGTTTTCCTCCACATTCAAATGGAATTGAGTTAGATTGGAGAAAGTTTCTGGACTGGAATCAAAATGAATTGACTCTGAATCATGTTGAACAAACATCTGAAAAAAGAAAGAGAAAAAGAACAAAAAGAATTAAAAAATATTCAAGTCACTTGTTCAAACTTTGTTCTATAATCTCAGATCAGATTCCTTCTCTGAAGATTGAAACAGTAAATTCAGAATGGAATAAATCTTGAAGTTCAAGTTTGAATGAAATCATTGACATTCAAATTGATTCAGCAGAGAAGATACTTACAAAGAAAAATCATCAACAACTTCTTCTCAATTTGAAAGACTCTTTAACCATGTATTCAGATGGGTCACAGTCAGAAAATCTGACTACTGATGCAGGTCTTTATATTTCAGAAATAAATCAAAGATTTTCTTGAAAATTGAGCAAACATATGGAAGTGTTTGATGCTGAACTCTTTGCAATTGAAAAGACTTTCTCCAATGCTTTGACTCTTTCAAATTTAAAAATCTTTTCAGAACTATGAGTGTTTTCTGACAGTCAAGCTGTCATTCAGAGACTCAATGCACAGAATATGAAAGCTGAACTGTTCTACATTGAATCAATTAGAAAAATTGCTAAACATCTTGAGTCTAAAGACATTAAGTGTCATCTTCACTGAATTTCAGCTCACATGGGCATCTTTGATAATGAAGAAGCTGATATTGCTGCAAAGAAAGTAACTGAATTGAGACAAGATTGTGCTGAAAAGTATGTTTCTTTTGCTTACATTAAGAGACAAATCAAAGAAATGACAATGCTTGAATGGCTGAAACACATCTTTGAAAATGAAAGTGATGTAAATCACTACTCTCAATTCAATTCAAAATCAAAGTGGAAAGCTTGTCCACTTTCATTTCCCAAACAGATTTGATCAACAATTATTCAGTTGAAATTGAGTCATGGTTACTTTGATTCTTACTTAATAAGACTACCAAATCATGATAGAGAAATCTGCAGACACTGTGGCTGCAAAGAAACACCAAAACATTTGCTCATGGATTGTTTAAGTCTGAAAGATGACAGACAACAGTGTTTGAAAGAGTTTAAAATTCCACAACTGTCACTTGAGTTTCTATTTAACACTGAATTGAGTTTGAAATGGATGGAAAAGTTTCTCAAATAAACTGAAATAGTCATCAGAAGATGGCTTCTGAATGAAACAGACTGAGTATCTTTAAAGATCTCACTTACAATCTCATTATTTATTTTTAAATTTCTGTGGAGAAAAGACATAAATCACTGCTCTGACACTCTTGTATGTTTTTCATTTGTTAATTTGTCTATGATCATGTCTCTGATCATTGTTTTTATAACTTAGTTAAATTCTGCAAGACAGCTTGCAGGTAGTCTTCATAGTCTCAGACTGCACAAGACTATAATGAATAATAATAATAATAATAATAATTACTACTCTCAATTCAATTCAAAATCAAAGTGAAAAGCTTGTTCACTTTCATTCCCCAAACAGATTTGGTCAACAATTATTCAGTTGAAATTGGGTCATGATTACTTTGATTCTTACTTAATAAGACTACCAAATCATGATAGGGAAATCTGCAGACACTGTGGCTGCAAAGAAACATCAAAACATTTGCTCATGAATTGTTTAAGTCTGAAAGATGACAGACAACAGTGTTTGAAAGAGTTTAAAATTCCACAACTGTTACTTGAGTTTCTATTTAACACTGAATTGAGTTTGAAATGAATGAAAAAGTTTCTCAAACAAACTGAAATAGTCATCAGAAGATGACTTCTGAATGAAACAGACTGAGTATCTTTAAAGATCTCACTTACAATCTCACTATTTACTTTTAAATTTCTGTGAAGAAAAGACATAAATCACTGCTCTGACACTCTTGTATGTTTTTCATTTATTAATTTGTCTATGATCATGCTCTTGATCATTGTTTTTGTATTTTAGTTAAATTCTGCAAGACAGCTTGCAGGTAGTCTTCAGAGTCTCAGACTGCACAAGACTATAATGAATAATATTAATAATAATAATATGCTTTTATTTTCATTTCAGAATTTCAAACTCAAGTCTTCAATATTTCTCAGTTTGAATCATCAAGTCTCAGTCCCATCTCAATTCTCTATTAATTTATTATGAATGGTATCTCAGTTGGAAATTTTCTGTCTTCATGGTCAACCTAATCTTCTAATACTTCTAGTAATATTCAGTAACTTAATCTAATTATACAAGGTCAAGATTTGTTGAGCCACCTCACAATGTCTAGGGACAGTTCAACCCACATCATCCCAATTGTGCACTGGTAACATCCATATTTAGAATCAGTAATCACCAGTTAAGACGCCTGGGGACAATCCACCTGGGCACCCGGGGACCCTAGAACTCACATTTCCCAATACTATTGCAACCAAGTGTAACCGTTTTACTGCAGAGCAGGGCTGCCTGGAACGTTTGGTGTTTCTCTTAAGATGAACAGATTGGACAGACAATATGGCCTATAGTCTATTCCTCAGGGGTTTTGTAAAACACCGTTGAGTTGCCTCTATGGCTTTCCTCCTTGTCTTGATACCATTTCTATTCTTGATTTATTTGAGTCGCTCCTCAGCACTGAGGGTGTCAAGGTCTTTGCTAACAAGCCAAGTCCGGACACTCTCCATAATTTCCCCAAGATGCTCATCTCCATCGAGCACACCTCCTAAATTATACACAGTGATGCCGCTTCGATGATCTGTGCATCGACTCTGTCCAAAGTTATACGTTCGAATCTTATCTCCTCTGCCCATCTTGGCAACTCCTCCCATGACACTCCTTCGGAGCTCAACAAGCTCCTGCTCACGAGCTTCACGCCTGAGTTGGGCGACCTTGGCGCGAAGTAATTGCCACGCTCTCCTACGATTTTCGTGTTGAGAGCGGGAGTCCTGCACAGAGACTATAGTCCCCGTTGGAGTATGAGTAAGTCTAATGGCCGATTCGGTCTTGTTAACGTGTTGACCGCCAGCGCCGCTGGCTCGCATTTTCTCAAATTGCACGTCCTGCATGCTGATATAGTAGTCTGAATTCGGATCGTCAAGGTTGGGTGCATGTTCTCCGAGCTCAGAAAGACTAGGTAGAACCATCACGCTCACAGCGCTAGTATGAACTCGGCCTTTTGTTTCTGTCGCTGGAACTCTTTGTACACGATGCACTCCGGCTTCTGTACGAAGGACATCATAGCTTCCAGCAGTCTCGACCTCCAGGACGGCCTCAGAAAGACGATTCTCAGAACCATTACCTCCACATCCATCTTCGATATCCCTTTTGAGAATTGTTGTTTTGAATCCACGACGAGAACAAAATGCCAAATACATGCGAAGTAACTCTGAGGCGAAAAGGCTGGCCTCATCGCCGCCAGCGCCGGGTCGGATTTCGATAAGACAGGGAAGTTCAGCAAATGGATGCCGGGGAACCAAGCTTTCTTTGAGTTTTTCTGACAGTATCGACAGGCTTGATGTTGTCGTCTCAAGGTCCTCCGAGGCTAGTTCACGAAGCTCTAGGTCACTAGCGGGGTCACTAAGCAAAGAATTTAACTCTAGTATGATCTAGGAATGATGAAAGGCCTTTCTATTAGCGTTGCAGTTGACAGTAACGGAAGGTTAGCCCACTTCATTTGTTCTATCCCACTCTTTAAGTATTTGCACAGTTTGGGCCAGCTCGCCAACCCTTTTGGCCGTGTCCTTCTGAAAGTTGTCCGTAAGTCGTCCCGAAAGAGTCGCGTGCTCATTCGCAAGAGACCTAGCTCTGTTTAACAACGCAGGTGTCAATATTGTCAGCGGCTGGACTATATATCAACCAAGTCAACATTAATACATAGACTAGATCAACGCCCATAAGATATGCATACCCGTGCTGTAGGACCGTCTCCACCTTCTCAAGTATTTTTGTCTACTGAGCCGTGTATAATAAGTTAAGCATCTTGAGCAAAGCTGCGAAGCCGAAAACATCGTCCGCTAGGTCTACCCCAACCATCCCTCATGGCGCTCGTAAGTAGGGGTCAAAAGAGATCATGTTAGGGCTTAAGGTTTTGGCTTCAGGCAGTCGGTGTAATGTTCACCCGTTGAGCAGCAAGCACGGGATAAGTCACCTGACTTTCAACGTGACGCATACCGGAATCCCGGATCTTTTTGTTATTATTATTATTATTATTATTATTATTATTATTATTATTCATTATAGTCTTGTGCAGTCTGAGACTATGAAGACTACCTACAAGCTGTCTTGCAGAATTTAACTAAGTTACAAAAACAATGATCAGAGACATGATCATAGATAAATTAATAAATGAAAAACATACAAGAGTGTCAGAGCAGTGATTTATGTCTTTTCTTCACAGAAATTTGAAAACAAATAATGAAATTGTAAGTGAGATCTTTAAAGATACTCAGTCTATGTCATTCAGAAGTCATCTTCTGATGACTATTTCAGTTTGTTTGAGAAACTTTCCCATCCATTTCAAACTCAATTCAGTGTTAAATAGAAACTCAAGTGACAGTTGTGGAATTTTAAACTCTTTCAACACAGATACAGCACTTGATATGAAACACCATCAATTCTAAGTCAAATTTAATGAAAATATATTCATTGGAAAGCTCTTGTTTATTACTATTATTATATTATTATTATTATTCATTATAGTCTTGTGCAGTCTGAGACTATGAAGACTACCTGCAAGCTGTCTTGCAGAATTTAACTAAGTTACAAAAACAATGATCAGAGACATGATCATAGACAAATTAATAAATGAAAAACATACAAAAGTGTCAGAGCATTGATTTATGTCTTTTCTCCACAGAAATTTAAAAACAAATAATGAGATTGTAAGTGAGATCTTTAAAGATACTCAGTCTGTTTCATTCAGAAGTCATCTTCTGATGACTATTTCAGTTTGTTTGAGAAACTTTCCCATTCATTTCAAACTCAATTCAGTGTTAAATAGAAACTCAAGTGACAGTTGTGAAATTTTAAACTCATTCAAACACTGTTGTCTGTCATTTTTTAGACTTAAACAATTCATGAGTAAATGTTTTAATGTTTCTTTGCAGCCACAGTGTCTGCAGATTTCCCTATCATGATTTGGTAGTCTTATTAAGTAAGAATCAAAGTAACCATGACCCAATTTCAACTAAATAATTGTTGACCAAATCTGTTTGGGAAATGAAAGTGAACAAGCTTTCCACTTTGATTTTGAATTGAATTGAGAGTAGTGATTTACATCACTTTCATTTTCAAATACATATTCTAATCATTCAAGCATTGCCATTTCTTTAATTTGTCTCTGGCACAACACACAGCACTTGATATGGAACATCATCAATTCTGAGTCAAACTTAATGAAAATATATTCATTGGAAAGCTCTTCTTTTACTTAGTTATTTGCTTCATTTTCACCCAGCAATTCTCTGTGGTGGGTGGGAAATCTCACATCAAAGACTGGGTTGCCAGTTTTGGCTACTCAGGCACTTTGCCTGGTCATCACAACACAATCATCTCCACTACATCTCTGAAATGTTGGAAATTGATTTCTCTTGTGTTAAAGAATCTATATCCAAGAGGAAAATACTTGCATTCTCAAACTGATTAAGAATTCACTCAGTTTTGGTGGCTCTCCATCAGTCTTTCACAGTGAAAAGTTTTCATGTTCCTGGCTTACTAAGCCTTAACCAGCAACACCAAAGCTGAATTGAAGTCTGAACTTACATAATTATTCCATCAAACTCTATTATACCCCATCAAAGTGGTACAACTGCAGAACACAGCCAAAATTCCAGCAGAACATAGAAATTTGATCACAACTCAGCCAAAACAAAATCTTTTTAAATTCAGTTGAATATTTCTGATTCTCTGATCAATTCTCTACCTTTCTAATATCCTATCAATTTTCTCTGGCCCTGATTTTCACTTTCAAAAAGTCAAAACCATTTGTCAGTTGGGGTCAGCAAAGATAAATTCAACCACAACTCAGTCAAGACAAGATCTCTTCAAAATTGATTTAATATCTCTGATTCTCTGATAAATTCTCTACCTCCCTGATATTCTATCAATTTTCTCCGGCCCTGATTTTCACTTCTGAAAAGTCAAAACCATTGGCCAGTTGGGGTCAGCAAAGATAAATTCAACCACAAATCAGTCAAAACAAGGTCTCTTCAAAATTGATTTGATATCTCTGATTCTCTGATCAATTCTCTACCTCCCTGATATCCTATCAATTTTTTCCAGCTCTGGTTTTCACTTCTGAAAAGTCAAAACCATTTGTCAGTTGGGGTCAGCAAAGATAAATTCAATCACAACTTAAACAAAACAACTCTTCTCTCTTTCTTATTTGTCTCAAGGACATAGACTCTTTCAGTCACTGATTTCTGCATTCATCAGCTAGTGATGGTTAAAATTGCTCTTTTATAGTTAGAATAATCATACTAGACTTGTTGATTTTCTAGCAAAGAAGAAGACTTTTTACTTACATATCATAACAGTTTCTTCCAGTTCTTCTGCAGTTGGAATTTGACTTTGCCTTAAGATACATTAGTGTCTTGCAAAGAAGAATTAGAATTGTAATCTGAGATTGAAAAAGAACTGAGTTATCTTGAATCTTAGATAGTGATTCTGAGATTCTGATAAAGTTGCTTGTCACTCTTCAAAAAGACAAGAAGAGGTTTTTTCCTGAGCTTGACTTCTTAGATAGACAGAAACAGCACATAAGTCATTCATTTTCTGTGATCAACATAAAATATAGGGACTAAAGTTACACTCTTGAAGTGTGAGACTAGTTAATATATTGAACTGAGATTACAAGTGATTTACTTAAGTCTTCCCTACCAAAAAGACTTTCAGTTTGACAATTCTCTTGAAAAATTGTTAGTGGGTTCTCTTATTCAAGTACATCTACTCATCTGACTCCACAAGTTTTCTTTTGTTATCTTGCATCATTTCTCTCAGTTCCAGAGTAATCTTAAAATAAACTGCTTTATTAGTTCAGGAACACGCCATCTATTACTGCTATTTTTGTTCAGGGAATTTTGAAAACTTTGGCTTTTTCTTGACTGATTTCTGTCAAAACTTAGTCTTAGTTTCCCTGTTCTCTTGAAAAACTGGGATTAGTTTTTGGGAGATTTCTATTCTGGAAGGAAAAAATCTCTCTAGATAAGTTCTCAACTGAAACAAATCAAAATGTCCTCTATCTCCACTTCTCTCTCTCTGAATTCTGAACAAGAACTTAAATCAGTTCTCAAAGTTCTTGCACAAGAATGTCAGAAAGAAAATCATGTTCTTGTTCAAAAAGAATTAAACTCTTGCATTCTCAGTCTTCAAAAGATTCTCTTCTTTCAAAAGGAAAAAGATATCTCCTGTTTTCAGTTTGAAAATGACAATGACAAGCTGAATCTTTTGGAAAAGAGACTCAAAAAGTTGGAAAGTCTGTCTAGAAGTTCAGAATCTTCAGTTTCTTCTTCAAATTCCATCTTCACCAAAGATTATTCTGAATCAGATTCAGTTTCATTGAATGATCTGACTTTCAAACCAAAAGATCTAGTTAGATGGTTGGGAATCTGGTTTGACAATCAACTCACTTTCAAAAGACATGTGGAAATCAAAATTGCATCAGCTGAAAGAGTCTTGAATCAGATAATAAGACTTTCAAACACAGAAAAAGGTCTTACTTTTCAAGCAATGAGACAACTGTACATGGCTTGCATCACTTCTGTTGCTGATTTTGGAGTTCCAGTTTGGTGGAATGGTCAAAAGAGTCTACTTCACAAGTTTGAAAGACTTCAGAATTCAGCTTTAAGAAAGATTCTAGAGGCTTTCAGAACTTCTCCAATCTATGCTATGGAAATTGAAGCTGCTATTCCTCCACCCAAAGTGAGATTCAATAAGCTGTGCAGAAACTATGCTTTCAGATTGTTGAAATTGCCAGAAAAACATGCAATCAGAACAAGAGTTTCTTCAAGTTTTCCTCCACATTCAAATGGAATTGAGTTAGATTGGAGAAAGTTTCTGGACTGGAATCAAAATGAGTTGACTCTGGATAATGTTGAACAAACACCTGGAAAAAGAAAGAGAAAAAGAACAAAAAGAATTAAAAAATATCCAAGTCACTTGTTTAAACTATGTTCTATGATCTCAGATCAGATTCCTTCTCTGAAGATTGAAACAGTAAATCCAGAATGGAATAAACCTTGGAGTTCAAGTCTGAATGAAATCATTGACATTCAAATTGATTCAGCAGAGAAGATACTTGCAAAGAAAAATCATCAACAACTTCTTCTCAATTTGAAAGACTCTTTAACCATGTATTCAGATGAGTCACAGTCAGAAAATCTGACTACTGATGCAGGTCTTTATATTTCAGAAATAAATCAAAGATTTTCTTGGAAATTGGACAAACATATGAAAGTGTTTGATGCTGAACTCTTTGCAAGTGAAAAGACTTTCTCCAATGCTTTGACTCTTTCAAATTCAAGAATCTTTTCAGAACTATGGATGTTTTCTGACAGTTAAGCTGCCATTCAGAGACTCAATGCACAGAATATGAAAGCTGAACTGTTCTACATTGAATCAATTAGAAAAATTGCTAAACAACTTGAGTCTAAAGACATTAAGTGTCATCTTCACTGG